AGAAAATGCAAGGGGGGGGGACACAAAGGATTTGAGAAGAAGATGAAAAGGGTTGGGAAAATCAAGGGATTGAGAACATATTGAAATCAGTGTCATCATCATCTTCATCATCATCTTCATCATCATCTACATCGCTTCTCCTGGTGAGGGTTCGGCTGATAGCAGGCTGAGCAGGCCGGATCAGATCTCTCTGTCCAAGGCTTGGGACTCGAAGAAAAGAATGAATTGAAACCGATGGAAAGGTGTGACTTCTGCAGTATGTAGAGAAGGAAGTCAAGCGAGAATGTCATACTACTTTGTACATTGCACTTGTTCATATGACAATAAAACTTTGAATCTTGAATCAATATATATATGTATATAATATAATCTACTTATCACTCAGTCAATATAGTCAATTGCCTATATCAGGTTATTTGTATTGGTCTGTGATTATATATATAATATATATATATTATATATATATAATATTATATATATATACACACATGCACATATACAGGAAAGAGAAAAGGGAATGAGATACACAGGTCATCTAAAAAGCAGACAATTTTCTGTCTGCATTTTTGCATGCAAAAAAATAGTAGTTGGCTTATTTTGGTATTAATGTAGTGTCACTGTTCCTCAAACTGAAGTCAGCTACCGCCCCCTAGTGTTCATTAAGACACGTTACACCTTATTGTTCCCACAATGAGAGGTCGTCACGAGAAATTACTGAATATGTCTTGCAGACCTAGTGACCCACCGGCGTTATTCTATGTCCTAAGCCAGCAGTGGAAATGAATTCAGCTAATTGTTCTGGCTACTGATTTCCGTGGGATAGAAGTCATAGTACTTCATCATTCACTGCATCAACAATAAATAAATAATGCAGCATTATAAATTAAACATTTTTTTTTATCAATATAAAGATTTTAAAATGCTTAATAAAAACCATAGTTCCGAAATGTCGGGGGGTGGGGGGGGGGAGCATCAAATCACGTCCAGAATTTAATCATCAGCTCTGTGGCACATAATTAATTAAAGGCTCTGCATGATTAAAATGCGGAATAGAGAGTGGGGATTGTGGAAGGTTGGAGCTGGGAAGGTCTGCTTTGTGTGGGGAGATAAAGCCCAGGACCGGGAGGGTCATTCCAGTGCTGACGGGTCACAGGCTTGGGGCTCTTAAGTGACCCCAGGTCAGACTCTGACTCATCCTGGTGTTCTGAAAGCCTGTCTCAGAAGAGGGCCGCGGGATCTCCAGCCCAAGCCCCTTAAAGCCGCAGTACCAGGAGTTACAGGCAGGGGACGCTCTACCAGAGACAGCAAAGCTTCTGTTTACACCCGAAGCTTTAGGTGAATCCGGATCTTGGCGTGATATTGAGGCAGGAAGATGCTTCATCACCCCCCCACCCTCACGACCTTGAATGACCTTCAGCACCGACCCCCAAGGCCGAATCGCCGTTACTCTCCCCGTTTTAATTATCATTTGACAGAGTGATGTGACCATTTGACTAATTACTTAACGGAGCAGTTAAGTCTGTGACTCTCTGCTGGGTCATTATTGCCAGTTCCTGACTCCACTGCCTTGGGTTTGTTTCTCAATATTGTTACTGACTTGTGCGAGGAGTCCATCCATCTTCTGGCTGCTCGTCCTGGTCACGGGGGCTGGAGCCCATCCCAGGCAGCCCAGGGCACCAGGTTGGGTTCCAGTCCAATCTCACACTACAGGCAATTTAGGGACAGCCTTCAGCCCCATGGCACGTGGAGAGCATGCAGCCGCGCACACCGAGCGTCCCCAGCGTGGGTGGCGTGAGGTGACAGCGCTGTCCTCGGAGCCGCCCCGCACACGGCGCTGTACCAAACTAACCAGCTAAATTCCGTCGCAGGAAGCGTCACTTTGCGCTCCATGTGGGATAATGTGGCATCGGCTTGCGGCCCGCCCTCAGAAAGTGGCGCCCTAAGCGGCTGCTTATGTCACCTGGTGGGCAGATGTTCCAGCCTCCACTCCAGGGGCCCACAGGGCTGGACCACGTTACCGAGACTCTTTCCAGCTCAGCCGAGCTGCTCTGCAGCAGGATCCGGACTTTCTGCATTCTTTACACCAGTGTCCTGGGGCACCCTCAGACAGTCAAAATTTGTGCTCCTTCCCAGCTCCCAGTACACCCATACTAGGTATTTGGTGTTTCTGATTGGCTAGGAAATGAGAGGGAGCAAAAATGTGGACTGTCTGGGGATCCCTGAGGGCTGGTTTGCAGTGCTTCATTAGACATCTCACTGGATGAATACTATTCTCCTCTAAAGGTGTCCTTAGCATGATTACAGGAGAATACATTTACATTTTATTTACTTAGCAGAAGCTATTATTCAAAGCTATTTACATTCAAAAAGGCAGGGTGACACAGTTAGGGGCCTCACTCAAGCGCCCAACAAGTAAAACCACTCTGCTAACACTGGGATTTGAATCACAGGCACAGAGCCACACACTGCCCCAAAACCTGTATAATGCAGTGTTTCCCAATCCAGTGCTCGGAGACTCACAGTCGGTCCACATTTTTGCTTCCCCCTTTCGGAAGCAGGGAGGGAGCAAAAACGTGGACTGTCTGCAGGTCCCCCAAGACTGGATTGGGAAATACTGGTATAATGTGACATGAAGTATCTAAGTATAAGCCCGCCCCCCCTTTTCACCCCCTTTTCACCCCCGCTTGGCTGCAGGCTCTTTGTGCGGAAGTGCAGCTCTTGCCTGCAGGTGATCGGCCGTTCGGAGCTCATCATGCGTGTGCTGGGCCAGGTGTACCACCTGGGCTGCTTCAGCTGCTGCGAATGTGAGCGGCGCCTGCAGCGCGGCGACGAGTTCGTCCTCAAGGAGGGGCAGCTGCTCTGCAGGGGCGACTACGAGAAGGAGCGCGAGATGCTGGCGGCCATCAGCCCCGCCCCCACCGAGTCAGGTGACCTGCATGCACCAATCAATTCGGCGGGCCAGACCCAGACACACAAAATAGGCGCTAAATTAGGTATGATTCAGCTGTCATTTTAGCTACAGTGGATCATTACCATAATTACAGTAATATATATGGCATGAGGAATTCAGAACATTTTCTTAGCCTGCCTGGACGTATAATGCTAATACTTTGTTTATACACATTTTTTTTTCCAAATAAGGATGTTATTTTGAAATCACTGTAAATATGCATTGTTTTGATGCATGGCACATTCCCACTATTTACGCTGTTTTGCTGCGTAAACATGCTGCTTTCCCTTGAAATGCGCTGGTCCCGTGCACAGTGAAGAGCGAGGACGAGGACGGAGGGGGCGGCTCTCTGGGGAAGGGCGGCGACGACGCGAAGGAGCACAAGCGCTCCAAGCGGCCGCGGACCATCCTGACCACGCAGCAGCGCCGCGCCTTTAAGGCCTCCTTCGAGGTGTCGTCCAAGCCCTGCCGCAAGGTGCGTGTCCGTCACTCACAGCGCAGCTCAGGCTGGGTGCTTTTATGCAGCCGTATGCATGTATACAGGCAGCCACACAGAGACACACTGCTCAATGCACTGGCAGTGTGTGTGTGTCTCTCTCAGACACACACACACACACACACACACACACACGCTCCTCCCAGCTCTGTCTTCTCTGTCTCTCAGGTCAGGGAGACCCTGGCAGCTGAGACTGGTCTGACTGTGCGAGTCGTGCAGGTGTGGTTCCAAAACCAGAGAGCCAAGGTAAAAAAGTAGACACACACCCAGACACGCACACACATACACACACACCCAGACACGCACACACATACACACACATACATACACACAAATATACATACACACACCCAGACACACACACATACACACAAATATACATACACACACCCAGACACGCACATATACACACACACCTAGACAGGTAAACCCGCTCGCACACACATACACATACACCCAGACACACACACACACATACACGCACACACATGCACCACACATACACACACACCCAGACACACACACACACACATGCACCACACATACACACACATGCGCATACTCACACACACACATTTGTGTACGCAGTGCCCACAAACACACATGCACACACCGACTCTACACCTCTTTTTAGGAAGTTTAGGTTTTCTCATTTGACCATTTTCCCAGCTGCATTAGTACTTGTGTGTTTCAAATCGCCAGTTTACATGTGCTTGTATTTTTCGGTATGTGTGTCTGTAGCTGTTCCATCCGTTTGTGATATTTAGTGTCCGGGCTTGTGAATAGCGCAGTGTGTGCGTGCTGCGTTTGACGCACCTGAGTGTGCCTGTGTGTGTCTGTCCCAGATGAAGAAGATCGCCCGGCGGCAGCAACAGCAACAACAGCAGCAGCAGGAGCAAGAGCAGTTGGGGGGGGGGCGGCGGGGGCCGAGTCGCGGGGGCCGGCAGAGCAACGACGACAGCGAAGGTGAGACCTGACACGGTCACGGTCCCAACCTCGGTTACGGTTACAGTTACGGGAAGGAGTCAGCGGAATCCTGCTTGAGAAAGCCCCTCCCTCAATCTGTATGATTATATACAACATGAGTGTCTGTCTCATTATATATGAAAATAATAAATAATAATTATGTCCCAGCTGGGCAGTAATCTGAAGTCCTTGTTCATTTCTCTCTCTCTCTCTCTCTCTCTCTCGCTCTCTCTCTCGCTCTCTCTCTCCAGATGGCTCCAGTGGTCACGGCCTGGACGGGCTGATGCCATACCCCTCATTGCCACGGCAGCAGCTGCTGGCTCTGGACCCCAACATATACGGGGGCGAGCCGTTCCGCCACGGGCTCACGCCGCCGGAGCTTGGACCCGGGCAGCTGCACTACGGTGAGGAGTCCCAAGTGGGCCTAGACCTCACACACACGCCTTTCTGGACGTTACCTTCACTGAGAGCTCAGTCCTGGGGTATCTATAACTCACTGTGACCTTTGACCTCTGCGCTGGTGTCCACACATGAGTACTGGAGCATGACCAACATCAGATCTCCTCCCTCCCCCCTCCCACCAGCCACGTTCCCCTCCATCACCTCCTGTCTGCCTCGTTAACCTCATGTCTGCTGTAACATGTCCGGTCAAATGTCACACTAATCAGGTCTCAATCTCAGCCTCTTTGTCCACACCGCAAGTGACCTTGTAATGCTTCGTCATTCGGGGAAGTCAATGCAGAACCGGCCCAAGGTGCCAAACCTATTTTCTCCACTGTCCTCACTTCCTCTTCCCTCCTCTCTCCTTTCATCCCAGACTCGGAGACAGTGTTCCACGACCTTGACAGCGACGGAAGCCTGAGTCACCTTGGCGACTGTCTCCTGGCAACGGCGGAGGGAGGACTTCTGGCAGGGAGGGTGGGGAACCCCATCGATCGCCTCTACTCCATGCAGAACTCCTACTTCACCTCCTGACCCCCAGACCCCTGCTTTTTCCCCCCCAACCCCTCCGTAACAAACTGCATCATCTACCCAACCTGAGGTGGTGGACAAGCCTCACATATTCTTGCCTCCTGTTCCTTTTTTTTTTTTTTTTAAAGGACCCCCCACCTTAACGACAGTCCAGAGACTCCCAAAAGATCACACGCCCCATTTTAAATGGTTGGAGAACCTTGTGTCAATGGACCCATTGAAAATGTGTCTGTAAAACACTTCATGCAAACCCTGCAATGTAACGTGAATGTATCCTGAACCCCAACTAGCTTGACTAGCTTAGCACTGGAAACACCATTTGATGAAACCGTAAATATATCTGAAAAATGTATTGTCCTGTAGACTGTGAAGAGCATCCTAACTAAAACACCTTCATATTCATCACTGAGCATTTCTCACAGAACTCCTGGTGTTTCCAAACACTGCTCTTATGGTGACAGCCCCTCACTGAGAGATGCAGCACTTCAGACACTCGTGTGAAACACGGATGGACTTGCCGGCCGTTTTGGCCTCCGTCTACAAGGATCCTCCCCGGCTTTTCCATGCACAGGACCGTCGGAGCCCACAGGAAATCAAGCCCTGGTCCTCCAGACCTGCAGGGTGCGCTGGTATCCGATTGTCACGCAATTATCGAAACAGGAGGCTTCTTTACCTGGGGGTTTCAGGTTTTAAATCAAGTGCAAATCCAGCCAAACCCTAGAGAAGTCAAGCACTGCTGAAATGGACGTGTTTGCATTAGAAATGAAACTGCTGGATTGGTTTAGGTAAGGCGGCCTTTGGTGGCGACGGGCATTTCTCCAGCCTGCCCCGTCCCCCAACACACAGCGGAAATGATCCCGGCAGACTGAGCAGGAGATGACTGCGGTGGATCCAGAGGCAGTACCGTGACCCCAGGACTTAATAATTCACGGTCCAACGAGCCAGGCATTCCAGGCAGAGAGACGGCCGGCCAAAGGGCGGTTTTTATATATCGGCGCTCCCGTCTGGGCGTGTTTGAGATTCCGTCCCACCCGAGGACTATTAATCTACCTCTGGCCACATCAGAGCAGACCCTTGTCAGGGGTGGCTGTTCAGAGGGTTCGCGGATACAGGGGGAGGGGGGTCACTTTGAAATGCCTCATTGCATTATGGGATGGGCGGGTTATTTCACTGGTGGTACCGGTGGCAGGAGATGAGGTAAAGGTCTCATGGTTAATAGCACATGTGTACGGGTCCGGTTTGGGCTGAGGGTAAACAGCTCCGGTTCTGGTCCGGGGTGGTGTGCCACATCCACTCAACCTCAGTACTTAATTGCTTTATTTAAGTAGTTATTTGGATAGTGAGTAGCCTCTGTGTGGTGTTAGAACTGTGCATCAGGAGCCAATCAAAAGGACTGGAGTGGTGTAACCCTGTTTTAGGGAGTCTTCTGCAGAAAAATTATTTCTAGCGCTCATGAGGGTGAAAACGTGTATTTGATTGGGGTTGTTCTGTACTCTAAGGGGGGTGCATACGTTGATTGAGCCAAAGTGAAGTAAGCGATCTGAAGATCTTCATGGGCAGTGATGTCTGGATTTTCTACAGGGTCATGCAGTCGCTGTACCGAAGGCTGAAGATCAGCGTGTACAAAGAGTAGTTTGGGGTGAGGATTATAGTGTGTGTATTATAATACTCACCCTCAAACTAGCCTGACTGCACCAAGAGTAGGTTTAGGGTGACAATTGTGTGTGCACCTAAGGTAGTGTACTGTCAGTTTACAGTGAGGACTAGATTGTGCACCAAGTGTAGTTTGAGGGTGAGGGTGATAGTGCACACTTAAGGTGGTAGTGAGGGTGGTAGTGCACACTTAGTGTAGATTTGAAGTGAGGAAATGAGTGTGCACTCAGGGTATTCAGTCCAGAAGCAGGGGGATTCCATTTCCTAGTGAACTCCTTGTGAACGCTTGTGCCACAGTGTTATTATGCTTTGTGTCAGAATATTTTAAATGACATTTGTAACTACTTTGGTTGTTCTGTATTTATAAAGGTTTTGACAAGAATTAAACTGAACTTACCCAGACACATTTCCAAGAGGCATCCAGTTAAAGTGATTCCTTATGTTATGATTATATAAAAACGCTGAGAGTAGCTTTTGGCTTATGTTATGGTAGTTAAGTTTGGTTGTTGATTGAAAGGGTGAGAGGCCAGCCTTATCATTAGCCAATGATGTGCTTTGAATCGGTGATTGACAGGGGACGGGGCACTCTGGGGACCAATCAGCTTTCGGCTGGGCCCAGTGTCCCTTTGGCTCCACAGCTATATACACCCCTGTTAATTGAGCTGGTCAGGATAAAGACTGCCACTAAGCTTAAGGATTCAAGTGGGATTCACGTTACAATAGGGAAGGACTGGAACAAGCGTTCACACTTTCTGAGAGCAAGCACAACGTTGCTGTCCTTCAGCAAGGACAGAAGTAACCAGGGTCACAGGGTCACACTCGGTCACAGGGTTAGCAAGAAGGTGAAAAATAAAGGTTCACAGGGTTTTTTTTTTTTTTAACGAATGAGGAGGAGGCACATGGGAAACCTTCTGGAATGTTCTGTCATTCGCATGAAACGGCCAGCTGCACTCGGACAAACAAGTTTCATGAGAAGGAAGTCAAAATCGAACGGGAACATAGCATATTCTGGTGTAAAATAAAAGACTGTGTTATTACTGTAGATAAGCTTATAGCTACCAGTGTTGGTGCCGTTTTATTGCTTTGTACTTGAAAGCCATCGCACGTCCCTCAGAGCCCCCTGGTGGAGTATTTTGTACTGTTTTCTTGTGCCTGTATTTTCAAATTCATCTGTATTGAAGTATTTATGTTACCGCATGGTGTGACGTGGATGCGTAATGATTGCCTGCATGGCGTCGGACGATTCCGTGAGGAGCCCCAGCCCGGGGCAGAGAGAGAATCATTTTCCAGGTTTCCCTCCAAACTGGGATCAGTCTGCCCGTGTGTGTGTGTGTGTTTGGCGAAAGGAGCTGTGTCCCCTTCTGCAGAGAGCAGACGTGCAAAATCCAGACCAGGATTTTGTTTCAACCAAACAGTTGAGTATAAAGAGTCACAGTCACAGAGTGCTCGACTGGTTGGATGGAACAAAATCTTGGTCTGGATTTTTACTTTCTGGACCTGAAAATTCCATCTCTGCGAGAGAATGGGTTGCACTAGGGGGTAGGAATTTGGGGACTTTGAGAGGGAGGGGCAGATGGACACCCCCCCCCCCCCCCTGGGTGGGCCATTGACACTCGCAGGTGGCTTCATGTTTCGGGTCCGTCTCCTTGCTCGAGTGTGATGTCTGTCATCTGTACACCCTTCCAATACAGCGTGATTCCAGCCTCCAGCCCTGGCCGTGAACCCTTCATTTTTTCTGTGCTTGTTTCCAAGAGCAGAACCCTTAGGTTGCCTGCTTGGGAACACTCCCACAGTCCAGTCGTGATCTCACACCCTGGTGATGCTTGCACGTGTGCCACGAGCCATGATCTGCATCCCTTTGCTCTAACCAATACCTTTCCTGGATGCCGATTGGCCATTTTCAATCTTCCTCAGAAAAAAAAATGTTTGTCTGTCTGATTACAAAAGCAACCTGTGAGGCATTTTGCAGAATAATTTGAGGAGGTAGCAGTTTAACTTTTTGCATGTAGAGTAAAACAAAGGCCCCTTTAAGCATGACTGATATGTTGGTATCAACTCTCAGAACAGAGGGTGGCACTGACATACGCAACAGCACTGAAGCTACTCTCTGTCTCTCACACACACACACGTTTGTATTCAAATGTTTGTGGGGACCTTCCATTCATTTCTTTGGGAACAACCCTAGTCCCGACAAAGACAACCTTAACCCCTATCCAGCCCTAACCTTAACCATAAGTAACCAATAAAAATACAAGACTTTTGGCATTTTTAGTTTTTTGATTGCAGTCACAGAATTTAATAAAATCGAGTTTCATCTTGCAGGAACTGAATAAACGGTCCCCACAATAACAGGTTTTTAAGGCATCGTGGGGTCATTTTGTCCCCACAATGAAATATATACCTGCCCCCCCCCCCACACAAACACACACACACACACACAAAATATATCCCCACACGTAAACACATCCACAGAATAACAAGCATATCAAGAGTGTGAGGCAGAAGCGGTTAAATAATGTAACCTTTCTTTAGGACATAATTATTATTTATGTTTTTAAAGTGACCTTTTCACTTTTTCACTTTTAAGCTTCCGCACCAGCAGAAGGAGGGAAACTCATGAGGCTCCTGGCTACTCCTCCTCCGCCTCCTCCTCCTCCACACACATTTTTAATAACTGATCTAGAGATTGCAGAATGTTCTGCTCTGTGGTCAAAGACCTCATACCTCTCCTCTGTCTCCTCATCTCCCCCCCCCCCCCCCCCCCCCCCCCCCCCCCCCACTCCTTCGGGGTAGCCACAGAGGTCATAACTCAACAACTGCCCCCACCCCTCCCAAATCCCTCCATCTCATATTAGAGGTACTGAGTGACAGCTGAGTATAATATTAAACCCAGGAATGTCTACTGAAACCCGGACTCGCTGATGAGAAAGTGGACAGGCAGGCAGGCAGGCAGGCAAAGTGTGTGTGTGTGAGTGTGAGAGAGAGAGAGTGTATGTGTGTGTGTATGTGTGAGAGAGTGAGAGAGTGTGTGCGTTGAATTGCTTTGTGCTATAATACCCATTTGTAAACTTTCAGACACAGGTTACAAATAAAGGATCCTGTTTATTACACACATCTGAAGCAGCCCCAAGTGTCTATTAGACCCTAAATTTTACATATTTTGATGCCATTTTCACACATGGATTCCAGCACTCACACTCACACAGATACACCACACAGTCTCTCCTGTCGTACTTCCTGGCAGGATACAGTCTTGGCAAGCAGAGACCTCATATATGCCGCTTAATTCAAGTGGCCCCATAGGCCACTTAAACGTCCATGATTAATGACTGACAGGCACTCAGCCAATAAACAAGCAATTGTCTCAGATTAGTAGATGCAGGCCTTTTCCCGAATGGAGGCCCGCGGTTAGAGTTTGTTTGTTTTGTCGGAATCCTTCTCTCGCATTCATGAGCGCGCCGACTGCTGTGAGAGATCAGCGTCCCTGGAAAGAACCAGCCCCCCATGGATCAGCCCTCCATCCTCATGTTCCCACAGGTGGACCACAAATCCTGCATGATCTCCATAGCAGAACCGGGCCAGGGAAATCCAGAGGGCTGTGATAAAGATCTGACTCTAGATGGGTTGTGACACACTGCCCCCTGCTGGAGAAAATATGTAATGTTACTCCTCAGCTTGGCATGAAGACTTTTGATACTGATTATCAATGACCTGTGCGACTATGAGGACACAAAGGCACAGACACTGAGCTGTATTTCATGTGGCCTCCCTGGCTGACCTAAGCTAGATCTCACCCCTGGATTGGCTATAACACAGAGGGGCTCTAGAGCAGGGCTGGCCAATCTTATCCGCAAACGGCCGGTGTGCATGCAGGCTTTTGGGGTAACCCTTTAGGTCAGCTGTTCAAACCCAGGTGTGAGGACTCTTCAGTCAATCAGTCCTCTAATTAGTGACCTAATTAGGGAGTTGCGGCGAAAACCTGCATAAACAACGGCCCTTTCTGAATAAGATTGCCCACCCCTGTTCTAGAGGCATCAGAGGTATCTCACAATACGGTAAGGAGAAAGAGGAGGTGGCCTACCGACAGAACTGAGGTCCACGGCCTCCGCACAGGCTAGGAAGCGGGACATGTGGGCGGAGCACGAGGCTGCTGAAGACTGGTGATCCTGCAGGCAGCGTTCAAACTCCGCAAACTGGCCTGCGCAGTCGGATCGGATCTTCTGGATTACTGGGCTGCAGTGCAGTCAGAATCAGGGTAAACGGGTTTTGTGATGTATGACATAATAGGGTGCAATACACTGATACGGGGTTTGCTTCATGGGGAACTGGGATAATGACTGACTAGTAACTGTCACTGCTTACAGTGAATTCGCGGTCACGCTGGCAAGCACAGACAACTAGCAATGCAGACATAGGCACTAAAATTTATGTTAACATATACACAGACAGAAGAAGTGGGAAAATACTGTAAAGTGTCACGCGCAAGTACGTACTGTGAGGAGGTGCACTGCGCCACCTTCAGCTTCATGTGCTGACACTGCTCCTGCCACGAGGATGGGTTGCGGGCCACGCACGCGCCGTAGTCCTGCATCTCCTTGCCGCAAAAGCGCGCCGTGATATCCATGGCAACCTGCCTAAACAGTGGAAGGAGGCCTTTCAGTATTATGGCTGTCAAATTGTACATTAACTGGGACATTAGGGGTGCTTGCCCATGTTGATACGAATACTCATCCATTACACTTAATGCGCAAAACCAGCACGGTCATAGTTATTCGACACCAGACCCCTGCTGCCAAGATGCCAAGAATGATGTTCGTCAGAGTCACAACCACGCAGTATGAAAATGTAAATAGCGACTTGAACATTTAATTTCATGTCATCATTGTCAGTTTATTAAACCAGAAAACGTAAGGCTACCACTAAAGTGAATTCAAATAAACAAACAAACTCATTCATTCATCTTGAACCTCGATGTATTAATTCCTTTGCACGTACTCACATGGTTTAAGCTTGAACAGAGTTACACCGGGAAAAGGTCGATGTTCAGGTTGCAAAAAGGAAGTACAGTTCGGTTACGCCATCGCTTGATTTAATTGGTCAAACTCTAGCGTTTCGGCAAAAGAGACGGGACATATTCCACTCCGATTGGTCGTTTCTTTACGTCATACTCTACAACCACCAATCATGCGTTTCCATGTGAGGCTAAAGATTTTTAAAGGAGCCAGAGTGTCTTTAGTGACTTGCGGAATATTAACTAATCTTTCACTTAAACACACAATAGAACTGTATCATCCATGAAAAGTATAACGCGCATCACACCGACATGTAGTCATCTGAACTTTTATATAATACCTTAGAAATAAAAATCCAGGTTAAATAGGCTATAATGTATTATTCAGTATAAAGTCCCGCAGACATGCAAAACCTGTTTTAAATTTGTTGTAATAACGTATTGTCACCGTGCCCCTCGGTCGGCTTTCCCGGTAGGGGTCAATCTTCTGGATGCTCGGTGTGACGAGTGTGAGTTGAGCGCTTCACGTAACCTGCGTGCTTGCGTACACGGAAGCCGCCGTGCGCGATAGACGGCAGGGAACGGAGTCTGGACGCCGGACCGCTGGATCGTGAGGGAGAAGCGTCTCTTTACCAACAGCGCTTGCCAGGGGGTGGCGGAGAGTACGGGAAGGGGGGGGATACGGCAAGAAGGGACAAGCGAGAATGAACGATACTAAAAAACAGGAAGACGTGGCTGCGGACGGGATTCCGGAGCACCGCAATTCAGCCGCGATGAATCACAGCTACGATCGAGAGGCCAGCGACGAGCTCGTCAGCTCCGTGTCGCTGTATCGGCGCAGGCCGCGGCTGCTGCATGGCACTGTGCTGCCGTTCGTCGCCTTCTTGTACCCGGGCTGGCTTTACGCGTGGCTCGTCGTGTACGGAGCGGCCGAGTACCCGGAGGCCGGCCTTCTGGCGCTCGCCGCCATCGGGATCGCGCACGTCCTGACCGCGCTCTCGGGTTACTGGTCCGTACACGCGCACTGCTGGCTCACCTGCGCCAAGGTACGACTGTCAAAGAAAGTTCGCATTTCTGTTTCTGGTAAAGAGCCGTTTGGCTTTTCATATCTGTTATCTTTTCCGAGAAAACTACTGTAGTAATAGGGCTTAACTCCATTCTCTTCTTCGTGTAATGTGATATTAACCACAGCAACCCTTCAGACTTATCACCAGGCACTTGAAGCTATTTTTTTTTTATAAATGAAGTTGTCATATGTGTATGGAGCTACACACTCGATGAATTGCGTTTGTTATGCGTGCTTTGTAAAAGCAATGACGTACAGAGGTTTCAGTTTTAGGACAGAATACTAACTGATGTGTGAATTAATCTGACAGAGTCGCCTTGTTAGGCTCGAACATCTGGCCGAGCCGCAAGGCATGCTGGGTGACAGGAGCTGCTCTGTCAGTCTAACTGGTCATCTTGAGTTCTGCATTCCCTGCGAATCTGTGTCTGTGTGTGTGCGTGCGCATACAGGAGCCAGATCCAAACAAGGCCACCCTTGCGAAGGTCATTCCGACCCCCAACAATGGCTCTGCTGAGCTGGTGCCCCTCCAGAGAGATGAGGTGAGCACTTCCTGTCTCCACATGCCTGCCCATCGTACTGCTTTTCAGTGTGGAGCTGCGGGCCGGTGGGGGAGGAAGGTGACAGTCAGGTGGATTTTCAGGTCTGCAAGTGCTAATTCATGTGCCTGATCACAACCCTCTGCATCACCAAGATTATATCCAGATTTGCTGTATGAAATCTTGGGCCACACTTCTATCAGTGCATTAGAAAGATGTTGATGTATGAGTTGGCTGTACAATGACATCATTCACTTGGTTGCCATGGGAACATCAAACACTTATGCATTTGATTTTTCTATAGAAGCCTTTCATGTATGCATGTGTGTGTCTTCTTCTGGATGCCTCTATCGCCCCCTCCAGGAGGAGGATGGCAGAAGGATCCTCTCCTTCGAGTTCCAGAAGATCCGCTATGTGTTCGACAGCAGGGAGAGCCGCCGTTTCCAGCCCGTGGCGTTTCCGGTGAGACACCCCATGGGCTATTTCCAGTCCTGGCGGGGCTACCAGGAGGAGGCGGAGCTACGGGCGGCGGAGAAGCGCTACGGCACCAACCGCGCGGAGATGGTGGTGCCTGACTTTCTGGAGCTGTTCAGAGAGAGGGCCACTGCGCCCTTCTTTGTTTTCCAGGTGTGTTTGTGCGTGAGAGAGAGAGAGTGTGGAGGAAGGAGTGTTCTGGCCTGGATACAGATGTGGGGAGGTTACAGTCTGGATGGAATAGTGAAGTCCTGGTGTTTGGGATTGTTACAGTCCTGATGTGGTGGGGGTATTCTAGATGTGGTGTTTTAGCGAAACGACGTCATATGAGCGGTGATCATTGTTTTGCTGCACCAGCTGTGCAGGGTCTCCGTGGTGAAAATTTTCTTTTGTTCTGATCCCACCCACTGTCCACGACTGACTGACACGAATGTGACGCCGTGGGGTTGGTCAGCAGGACTAATTACGCAGTTACCGGCATTCTTTTCACCGTGCATAACTTTAATTGGGGTAAATTAATATTGTATTTATGTCAATGTCGTAACCGTTTGTTTTCCCTGAAATGCAGGTGTTTCGTTAGCATGTAACCGTGATTACAGTGTACATTGCTAGCTTCCTTGTCTTTGCTGCTGCTAGTATTAGACCAGTGTTTCCAAACCCAGTCCTTGGGGAACTCCGGTCAGTCCACGTTTTTGCTTCCTCTCAGCTCCCAGAGCACCTGTACCAGGTATTCTGTGTTCCTGATTGGCTGGGAGCTGGGAGGGAGCAAAACCATGGACTGACCAGGGCTCCCTGAGGACTGGGTTGGGAAACACTGTATGAGACCAACAGTGGCTGTTAGTAAACAGAGCAACTTCTATTTTAGAAGAGCTGTCATCAAAATGACTCATGCGGTCACAATACACTTTCTATGTGGGTCTGCTGCATCGAAAACATTCTGCAACCTCTAGGGTTGTGGCTTGACATAGAATGAACAAGGTGGCAGAGTCCTTTTAAGCTTGCGACAGATTTTTCTTGCCGACGTGTTCAGTTTCGTTTTGTGTGGACTTTGCTTGAAGTATTCTTTCACCGTTATGGTTCTGACATTTTGGTGCAGGTATTCGCCAGGATATGGTGCTTATAGTTCACGTGTGTTTATGCCTTCAGGTGTTCTGCGTGGGGCTCTGGTGCCTTGACGAGTACTGGTACTACAGTGTTTTCACTCTCTTCATGCTGGTGGCCTTCGAAGCCTCTCTGGTGCAACAACAGATGAGGAACATGTCTGAGATTCGCAGGATGGGCAATAAGCCCTACATGATCCAGGTACGCCACCCCCACAGCCTTAGTGGGGTCTGGTCAGGCTCTCGTCACACTTTCAGCCACGTGTGACCAAGTTGTCCAGCAAAGAAATGCTATTTTAAAAATCATATTTCCCTATTTAAGATTTTCCCAGTTTAAGATTACGGTGAGGCTGTATTATGGCCCTTGTGAAGTTTCTGTGGTTTATATGCACTTGCTCACAGGTATACAGGAACAGGAAGTGGAGGCCAGTGTCCAGTGATGAACTGGTCCCAGGGGACATCGTTTCTGTTGGTAAGGTTCCGGTGCAGTGCATTTGTCATGCCCGGACAGTATGTGCCGTTCTGTTCTGCGTCTTGCTGCATATTGACTGTGTGCGTCTCCATTTTGCTTCCCCCTCAGGACGCTCACCCCAGGAAAACTTGGTTCCGTGCGATGTGCTGTTGCTTCGTGGTCGCTGTATCGTGGATGAGGCCATGCTGACCGGAGAGTCCGTCCCGCAGATGAAGGTCAGAGTGACCTCCTGTTTGCAGCACCGTACCATAACCTGCAAAGCTCTGCATCCTGTATCTCCTTTGTTACCCATCCATCGGAACATCTCCCAGCCCGCCTCTCCACTCCTCGTTCATCTGCCTGTCTTCCCAGGAGCCTGTGGAGGACCTGGACCCTGAGGAGATCCTGGAGCTACAGTCTGATTCTCGTCTTCACGTCATCTCTGGTGGGACCAAGGTGGTCCAGCACACCCCACCTCAGAAGGCCAGCGCCGGACTCAAACGTCAGTGCAGTAGCTCTGTCCTCCCGCTCTCGTTGCCGTTTCCGCTCGGTTACCTCCGCGAGCGTGCCGAACCCGCACACGCGTGCCCAGGCGCCCCCTACAGGGAACTCTGTCAAACTGTATGCATCTTCTCGCTCGCTTCCACCTGGCGGGCTGAGGTTGTTCCCAGTAAAATCTCTGGGATGATTCAGTGCATTGTTGCGCGGCAGCTGTAATTGTTCTTAATTTAAGACTACGGGACTTGGCAGCCATGGGTCTCTGGAGCATCCGTCCTACAGATTTTGGAAATAAACTTTAATTAGCGGCTGATTTATGCCCGAAACACTGTCTGAGGTGAATCACCGTAAAAATAATTACGGTAGCGGTGCTGAGGCGGGGGAGGAAGCTCTACATCTCTCTCTGGCTGGTGTTATTCATCCCTGCGGTACCGGCTGTGGGAGCAAAGGGTGGCCGTGCGTCTTTATCAGCTGGATCTCTGCTCAGTGGGCTGGGCTCCAGGCCACAAAAATAAACATCTTCTCCTTGTTTTTTGGCAGCTGTGGACAACGGCTGTGTGGCGTACGTGTTGAGGACGGGGTTCTACACGTCCCAGGTGAGCAGCTGGGAAATTAACCCCCGAATTAGACCATCGTCCATCGCAGAGTTTGTTTATGGATCTGAGTTAACACATCTGACAGGGTTTGTGCTATATGTTTTTTAGGGGAAATTGCTGAGGACGATCCTGTTCGGGGTGAAGAGGGTCACGGCCAACAACCTCGAGACCTTCATCTTCATCCTCTTCCTCCTGGTCTTCGCCATTGCGGCGGCAGTCTACGTCTGGGTAGAGGGTGAGTGCGGCGGGACTGCCGGCCCATGGATGGACACAGACTGGCCAATGGCGAGGCATATGCAGTGTTGGTGAAGGCTGATGATATGATGACCTCCCACCAGGGACCAGAGACCTGACCAGGAATCGGTATAAGCTATTTCTGGAATGCACCCTCATCCTCACCTCTGTGGTCCCCCCCGAGCTGCCCATCGAGCTCTCGCTGGCTGTCAACACCTCCCTGATCGCCTTGGCCAAGCTCTGTGAGTGGTGTCCTGTGTTTTCCTCTCACTAGGGAGATAGTGTGAGAGCGTGAGTAAACGCGTATGCCTTCCTCCGCTTCGCAGACGTGTTCTGCACCGAGCCCTTCCGCATCCCATTCGCGGGGAAGGTGGAGGTCTGCTGCTTCGACAAGACGGGCACACTGACCAGCGACAGCCTAGTGGTCAGGGGCGTGGCCGGACTCAGGTATGTCGCCCCCCCATGGACGGTGGGTGTATTGCGGCTCCTCCCGTGTGGCTTTGACATCCCCGTTAGTCATGCTTCCTGTCCCGGTGTCCCGCAGGGAAGGGAAGGAGGTGATGCCAGTTTCGGAAATCCCAATGGAGACTCACAGGGTGGTGGCCACCTGCCACTCTCTGGTCACCCTGGAGGACGGGCAGCTGGTTGGGGACCCGCTGGAAAAGGCCATGCTGACGGCAGCTGATTGGACCCTCACTAAAGGTACAGAGTCCGTGCCGACCAATGCTGAGCCTCTAAACATCCAATCAGCATCAAGCTAACATTTCCTCCAGTGCTGGTCCTCTCTTCCAAGCAACTCTGACTGTGGCCAAAGCTACTGACCAGCTCTTACCTTAAGCACTGTAATTCCTCCAGTTCTTTTGAGATAACATTTTGTTCTTTGGAATCAGAAGCTTGTTGGTTCAGATCCCATGACCGTTGAGGTCTTGAGTCTGGCCCCTAACCTGCTGTGAAGTAGCTGACCCTGTGCCCTGACCCCTAAAATTTGTTCTCACCTGTGTGTCACATGGAGAGCAAGACAGGATGTGCAAACACTACCCAGTTTTCCCAGCATGCTTCGCACGCTCAGCACTGAGGTCTCGATGTCGCCCCCCGCAGATGAGAAGGTGTTCCCTCGGGCCATAAGGACACCGGGCCTGAAGATTCACCAGCGTTTCCACTTCGCCAGCGCCCTCAAGAGGATGTCTGTCCTGGCGTCATACGAGCGGCTGGGCTCCACCGAGCTCTGCTACATCTCCACCGTGAAGGGGGCCCCGGAGACGCTGCGGGGAATGGTGATTACCTCTCACCACTCGCACGGGACACTCACCACACTGGGGTCACTCCCAGTCAGCATCCAACAAATCTCACCTGACGGCATTTCCCCCTGGGGCGATTGTAGGACTTTTTAAGGTGGCATAAGAGGAGCGGCTGACAGTATCATTAGCCAATGATTTGTTTTGAATCAGTGAGTGACAGGGGAGGTGGCACGCTGGGGGCCAATCAGCTTTCAGCTGGGCCCAGTGCCCTTGTGGCCCCGCCCCTCGTCACACCCCACATCTGCCCCTTAACAAGCCCCCCCCCCCAGCTCACCACAAAGGCCACACCACTCATCCTTGTGTTCATAATGGGTACCGTTCGTCCCCTTTTCTGGTGCTGATTCGATTTATTATACCATCAGCAATATGCCGAACCCTCATTCCTCTGCTACTGCAATCATAGATGCTGTATATACCCATTATTTATACCACACCATGTGTACCGCTGTTTAGATGTACATTCACTATTTATTTGTCACACATTTATATATTGTACAGCTGTTTCCAGCACTTCTGTCCTGCTTTGTACTTTCGGATTGGATGCCGGACTGTATTTCAATGACTGAGCTGTCATTCTTTGCGCAACAACAGTGAACGTAATCTATCCATAAGTCTTGGTGCCGGAGGTCAGGTGAAAGAGGGAGCTCAGCTCTCGGAAGTCGCTACAACTCTGACTGTGTCTGTATTTGTCTGTGTCTGTCTGTGTCTGTCTGTGTCTGTCTGTGTCTGACTGTGTCTGACTGTGTCTGACTGTGTCTGACTGTGTCTGACTGTGTCTGTCTGACTGTGTCTGTCTGACTGTGTCTGTCTGTCTGTGTCTGTCTGTCTGTGTCTGTCTGACTGTGTCTGTCTGACTGTGTCTGTCTGTGTCCGTCTGTCTGTGTCCGTCTGTCTGTGTCCGTCTGACTGTGTCTGTCTGACTGTGTCTGACTGTGTCTGTCTGTGTCCGTCTGACTGTGTCCGTCTGTCTGTGTCCGTCTGTCTGTGTCCGTCTGTCTGTGTCCGTCTGACTGTGTCTGACTGTGCCTGACTGTGTCTGTCTGTGTCCGTCTGTCTATGTCCGTCTGACTGTGTCTGTCTGACTGTGTCTGTCTGTGTCTGTCTTGCAGTTCTCCGAGTGCCCAAGCAGCTACGACAAAGTGCACAAAGAGATGTCCCGTGAGGGGGCGAGGGTACTGGCCCTGGGATACAAGGAGATGGGACATCTGACCCACCAGCAGGTACTGCTGTAATGCCGCCTTATTGGCCAATTAGGATACCCTCTGTGGTCCCCACCAATGGGGGCTCTGCCACTCTCGAAACGTCCCGAGTACTTTTCTGATACTTGTTCTATACTGCTTTACTCTCTGCTGGCATTCATGGATAAGTGGGAGCTCCTAACCAGGAATGATGGACAGTTGTTATGGGTCCTCTCTCTCTCTCAGACCCTGCATTTGTTTTTCAGATTCTGTGGGCTTTTGTAGGTGTGAAATTAGTCATTTTTTGCCATAGAAATCATGGTGATGTTATTTGGATTGAAACGTAAGAGATAACTGGTTGAGGTAACCGCTGATGCGGCAGGTGACCCTGTGCACGCCCTGGTTGGTGGGTGGGGGGGGGGTGAGTTCATGATCCCGCCCGCCGTGACCCGCTGTGGTCTGCAGGTGCGCGAGATCACGCGTGACGCCCTGGAGAGTGACCTCCGCTTCGCCGGCTTCATGGTCGTCTCCTGCCCGCTGAAGAACGACAGCAAGACGGTGATCAGGGAGATCCAAGAGGCCTCGCATCACGTGAGCGCGGCTGTCCTCACTCGCGCGGTCGCCGACCCGCGGCCCCCGGCCCCCGGCCCCCGTGTTCATCGTCCCTCCCATTTGTCCCCCGCAGGTGGTGATGATCACCGGCGACAACCCGCTGACCGCCTGCCACGTGGCCCGGGAGCTTCACTTCATCCAGAGGGACCATACGCTCATCCTGGGACCAGCACAAACACCAGGTGCCTGAAACCATTGTCCCTATGTGATGACTGGGGCGGGATCTCGGGGGGAACTGAAAACTGATTGGTCCTTACACTTCGTCCTCCCCTGTCAATCACAGATTTGAACCATATGACTGGCAAACGATAAGACTCTCCCCCCCCCGTATGACAATTGACCCCTAGCATCCTCAAATCTCCCCCCCCAGTGGTGATGCCGTATGTCTGCGTTTCAGGCGAGTGGCACTGGGAGTCCATCGACGGCAGCGTGTGTGTGCCCCTGCAGCCCCCCCTGGTGGCCAGCCTCATCGCCCAGTACGACCTGTGCGTGACCGGGGAGGGACTGGACCAGCTCACCGCAGAACCCCGGCTGCTGCGGGCTCTGCTGCCCCACATCCGCGTCTTCGCCAGGGTCAGCCCCAAACAGAAGGTCAGAGGTCCTGCTCTACCATTATAGTCTTGATTTTTATTTATTTCTTTTTTTATCAAATTTTTTATATTATTATTTTTAATTTGAATTGTAATTTAGTTTTAGTTTTCAGCATAGTTTTATTAGTTTTTAAAGATATATTTTTATTTAGTTTTTATATATTTTAGTAATTTTAACGATTTAGTAATTTTAATTTAGTAATTGTTGTAGATGTTTTAATAATTTTATCTCTATGGACAGATGTTTGAGAGCTATTTTATGCATATGATCTTTAGTGAATCCTGCAGGAATACTCAGTGTACGTGCTAATGTCCTCAAAATGTTCCAGGCATGATTAATGGTCATTAAGAATAAACAAATCATTTAATTGCTAAATATTATATTACTTAAAATATTATTTTAAAACGGCAATGGAAAGTATTTGTTTTTATGTTACTTTAGTTAGCTTTTGAAGCTATATTTGTAATTTTTATTTAGTTGTAATGATTATATTTGTGTATTTAATTTTATTTCAGTCTACAGAAACGTTTTCTTAATTGTAATTGTTCATGATAATAGCCCTGGTTCTCCTGTTTTGTGTTAGGCGTGCATGCCTGCGTACGTAGGTGCGTGTGTGACAACCAACTACACTCCCAGTCGCCCCCATTAGCTGTCCTCTGATTGGCCCATTTAATCATAGGCATCTATTGCTGTCGTTTTCTGTCTCAGGAGTTCGTAATCACCAGTTTTAAAGGCCAGGGCTTCATCACGCTCATGTGTGGTGACGGCACCAATGACGTCGGGGCGCTCAAACATGCCCATATCGGTAAGACCAATGTGACGTTCATGTTTAAGGACTTTGCCTTTAAGGACTTTGCCTTTAAGGACTTTGCCTTTAAGGCTGTCTTCACTGTACTAAAGCTAATGGAATCACATATGGATGCAGGTGGGTGGTCCACAATAAGGTTAAGCACCTCTCTCGCTTTATTTCTCCCTCCCTCCCCTTTTCCCCCTCTCAATGCATCAGGAGTGGCCCTCCTCGCGAATGCCCCCGAGCGCATACCGGAGAAGAAGAAGCGTGGCCGGGAGAGGGAGCCCCCTGTTGGTGACTCCAGGCCCTTCCCGCCCATCTCGGCTTCGGGGGGGAAGCTGAGCTCGCGCGCCGCCCGACACAGGGTGATGGCCCAGAGGGAGGAGCAGCTCGCCGCCCAGAAGGTGCGTTCCCCAACCCTCCCTCCCCCTCCCTGGGGGTGAAGGGTCATGTGACCCCAGCCTCTCTGTGACGGAGTGCCTGTGCTTTAGGAGCGGATCAGCCAGGTCCTGCGGGAGCTGGAGGAGGACCAGATCCAGGTGGTGAAGCTCGGGGACGCTTCCATCGCCGCCCCCTTCACCTCTAAGCTGTCATCCATACAGTGCAGTGAGTAACGGCTTGGGGGGGGGGGACAGAATGTGCCCCTGGAAGTGGGGGAGGTGCATAGTTAGCAGAGAGGGATGGGGTTCCCCTTATCGCCCAAGCACATCTCATTTTGTTTTATTTTCTTTTATTTGATGACACTTGTGCTATTAGTTATGTATTAATTAACCACAAACTAATTCTTAGTTACATACTGATCTCATGTTAATTTATCATTCATTAATCGTGATGCATGTTGTGTCAAGCACTTACTATATTTGTTACTATATCTGTTAATTCTGTAAACCTTTGTGAACTACTGAAGGAACAAGTTTTAACACAAGTGAAATACTGATCTCATGTTTGTTCGCCATTAATGAATCCTGATGTATCTTTTATCTGAAGTACACTATATTTGTTCATGATTTGTCCTTCGGTAGTAGCGGAGTTATTACTAAGTATTTGTGCCACGTCAAGTAAAGTGTTACAGTTTTATTTTTATATGGCCTCCCCCTCCTAAGATGGGACAGATGGGACCTGGGTTCTTATCAAAGCTTTAGCAGCTAGAATAAATTCATGGGCAGACAGGATGGTAATTTAATGCAATGCAACAGACCCCCCTGACCTCTGCCCCGCCCCTTACCTCCCCTCCCCCCAGTCTGTCATGTGATCAAGCAGGGCCGCTGCACACTGGTGACCACACTGCAGATGTTCAAGATCCTAGCCCTCAACGCGCTAGTGCTGGCCTACAGCCAGTCAGTGCTCTACCTAGAGGGCGTCAAGTTCAGCGACTTCCAGGCCACCCTGCAGGGCCTGCTGCTGGCCGGCTGCTTCCTGTTCATCTCCAGGTCAAAGGTGAGGGGGCGGGGCCACATGATGACATCACTGAAGGCTCCTCATTCTGTAGCCCATGTGGCACTGATGAGAGCCTAGGCCTGTATAAAATAAGATAAAACTATGTTTTTATTACACATCATCCAAAATATTAATGAATGAAAATTCTCTGCAGGGGCAATAATGGACCATGTTACTCATTCATGCATTTCAAGGATTTTAATAATTGTGGACAGCAGCTAGCCTTGTGTTTGTGTACTTAGACTTTCGTGCATGTTTTCCTCGACTAACAATGGGGTTACGTTCCAATGAATCCATTGCAAGTTGAAAATATTATGAATATGATAAGAATATAAATAACTGCTCTCACTAAAGAAAATAAATTCCAGTAACTGAAAAGTAAGTAAATGAATCCATCATTGAATGAACAGTACTACTTAAATGCAGAAAGAAATATCATTCGCTGCTCCTCCTTCATGCAGCCCCTGAAGAGTCTGTCCCGAGAGCGCCCCCTACCCAACATTTTCAACCTGTACACTGTGCTGACGGTTCTGCTGCAGTTTGCAGTGCACTTCTGCAGCCTGGTGTACCTGTACCGCGGGGCGCAGACCAGGAGTCCTCCCAGGTAAACCCGCCCGCCCAGTTCGGACTCTGGCACTGTGACACCGGTCCCGTCTTCTCCTGTGTTACTGATGTGTCCCTTTTCCTGCCTCCTGGACAGACAGGAGCAGTTTGTGGACCTTTACAAGGACTTTGAGCCCAGTCTCATCAACAGCACCGTTTACATCATGTCCATGGCCATGCAGATGGCTACCTTCGCTATTAACTACAAGGTGTGTTTGTGTGTTTGTTTGTGTGTTTGTTTTGTTTGTTTGTGTGTTTGTTTTGTTTGTTTGTGTTTTTGTGTTTGTGTGTTTGTTTTGTTTGTTTGTTTGTTTGTTTGTTTGTTTGTGTGTTTTTGTGTTTGTTTGTTTGTTTTATTAAGGCTCTGAATCCCTGAAGTGGATGAGATTCACATTCACTCCCTGTTTTAACCCAATGGGGGCCAATAATATACCAGAAAGCTGACTGACAGCATGCAGAATTCTCACCCAGTGCGGCTCTCCAAGGTCTTGTTTCTCCTGTTAGGGCTCTGGTGCTGTTCACGTGCACTGAAGTGTTCTGTCTCACCAGGGTCACCCGTTTATGGAGTCGCTAACGGAGAACCGGCCCCTGCTCTGGAGCATCGCCGTGTCGGGGCTGGCCATCGTGGGGCTGCTCTCAGGCTCCTCCCCTGAATTTAACGAGCAGTTCGCCCTCGTGGATATTCCAACAGAGGTATACCACCTATTGTGTGTGTGTTCGTATTTTATCTGTTGGATATCGTGACTCGTGCTTTTTGTTCCATTTCTTGACAACCTTTGCCACCCCCCCCCCCGCCCCCCCAGTTCAAGCTGGTGATCGCCCAGGTACTGGTGGTGGACTTTGTCGCCGCCCTGCTGGTGGACCGAGTACTGCAGTTTATTCTGGGAAAAGGGACCCTGAGGATGCCTTCTTGAATCGTCATGCCAACCACTGCTCCCCGAGCAAACCTCTGCTCTCAGCGATGAGACTGTGGGGAGTGAAGAGGGGAAGGAGGGATAGGGAGAGGACAGTGACTGCAGTACAAACTCAGGAGTGCCGAGAGGACCTGTCAGTCAAATGCTCATCCCCTTTTTGGACTCATTTTCTTTCTCCTTTAGCCTTAGCTCAGTGTCCTTTTCCTCATTGCCTTCATCTCCCTGTTTTCTTTTCTTACTTCAGATTTTTTTTTAACTCTTTTATCCCTGCTACTCATCTCCTCCCTTCCTGCCCTCCATCCTCTCCTTCCTTGCTGTCACTCCTACAGCAAGCCAAGAAGACAGCAGTATTGTGAGGGGTCGGGCGCTTGTGTGCCGCGTGCGGCGATGCCAGTGTCCGCCCGCCTGCCCGCCCGCCCGCCTCTGCTGTTGACTCCCCCATGTGGCTGGGAGGGGGGACGTTCTCCAGGAGAAAGTGTTTGTTATTGTTCCCCTCATCATTTTGTAAAAAATAAAGACAGAATTCAGACTTATAAAAAGACCAAAAAATGCAAACATTACCATCTTGTCCATTTCTTGTTTTTTTTCCCCCGTTATCGAAAGAGGTGTTTTTCCGTGTTCGGGTTCCTGACAGGACCATAATTCACTTTAACTTGACTAAATGGGCCAAAAGGCTAGACTCCGATTTAAGTCTGACTCTGCAACCAAGTGATCAGATGGTTTTTTTTATCTTGTCATCTGATTTACACCAGGAGTGGCCAATCCTGTGTGCAAAGGGCCGGTGTGTATACAGGTTTTTGGGGTGACCTTTAGTTAAGCTGTTCAAACCCAGGTGTGAGGACTCCTCAACCAATCAGTCTTCTAATTAGTAATCTAATTAGGGAGTTGCAGTGAAAACGCACATACACAGCGGCCCATTCTTGATTAGACTGGCCACCCCTGATTTACACGCCAAAATAAAAGAGCTGGATAGTTTGTGCCCAGGTAGTGCATGCGGTTGCATTTGTGTTTATGTCATCATCAGCTTTGACCCACTTCTGGTAAAAGATCCAGTGGCTGCACATTTGAAGAAGACTGCATTGAGTACTGCTGACACCGTCCCTCTATCTGCAAGACTTTAAACACAGATCAGATGCAGGGTTTCCCCAAGAAGCGGCCGAAGAGTATTAGCAACCACACAAAACTTTGCAATAATGTACAGTAGCAGTGACACCAACTTTGGTCAGCTGACTTGCACACAATTACATGCATGTAAGAGTTTGTAAGGTTTGCAAAGTAATCCGACGCTTTTCATGTAGTTAATTTTAGTGTATAATGGAATAATAGATGCCATAAGATTTCTTGCGTGAGTGTCACGCCAGATGAATGAGAGTTGGCACCCCTACAGTACAGTAGTGTTGGATATCTTTCTTACTACCATTTTCAAATATTAGGCAAAGTACTGAGAAAAAGGGAATGGGATTCTTTTGTGTTAATGTTAAAAGCATAACGTGTTTCTAGTTTTAATCTATAATGTGCGTCATATCAACAAATAACTAAAGGCAGTAGTGATGAAATATATAACGTATTTTTCATAACTGCTATATTCCTGTGTAACACGAAATAAATTATAAATGCATTTGCATATTTTCCACGTACAAATTAAAATGTGTTTGCAAAGAAACACTGAATAAATCACGTTGGTGTGTGAAAAATCCATATTAAAAACTAAAATGTCCTCTCCAGAAAATGATACTTATTGAAATAAATCTGAGTGTTTTCTACAACTACGGATAACAACCAAGAGTCCACGAATGTTTCGGGTATTTTTCAAGAAAGTAGTTTCAGTTAGGTAAATTAAGAACTACATTTCCGGTTAAAAAATAAAAACCGGTTTTCGTTCCTAAAGCCTACACATCCCAAGATTCTCAGGAACAGCTAATGCGCATGCGCATTAGTTTATTGTTTTGGTTGCGCGATTCCCGCGAATTTGAAAGGAAGGCTCGATAAAATGGCGGAACGTCAAACTGGGATATCGGTGGAAGGGTGAGTCGGTGTATTTCTGGCGAATTTTCAGGTTTTAGTCTTAGTTTGTTCATCCATATTAATTATGTTCAGGATTTAATATTTTGACATAGCTAGTTTTTATAATACGTACATTTCTTTCGCTAGACGCTCTTTCTAGTTATAATTTGCAGGTATATTATGCCTTGTATCTATATGGTTTATTTTATTCTGAGTGTGATATTAACATTTGTAAAGCTATTTAGCAATGTTTTTTTTTCTTCGACAGCTGCGACACTAGCGATGATGTACAAAACAAGGTATGCCTGATCATGATCATTCTTCGTCTCTCCTAACTCGTTTTACTCCTAGTACCAAGTCCTGTCCTGAGGCTTAGAAAATCAGGCTTTTTTTTCTCGTGCCAGTGTCAGACCTGTGAAAGCTTATGTCGTTTATCGGCATAAATGCACCGAGTTTCAGTTGCACTTTTCTCAGCTTTGGAAATGACCTTCCTTTGCGTAAACATATGATGATGACACAGATTCTGCTGCTGTGCACCCATCAGGGGTCCGCCTCAGAGTGCAGCCCTCGGGCTACAAAGACGACACCCTCTCGAGGTCTCAGCCCAGGGCCCCCCAAGAAATCGCCATGTGCCCTCCCACCCGAAGCCGCCATCCTGCCAGCAGATGGGACACAGGAGGAGCCCCTTGGCTTAAACACCCAGGGAGAGAGGCAGGGTGACCAGGATAACGGCCCGTTCCTGAGTCCCCGCACCCGGAGGAAGTCATGGAGGCGCTCAGCCAGGGGGAGGCGCTCTCTCCCTGCCCCACAGAGTAACACCCTTGGTGAGCCCCAACCACCCCCTTCCACCATTCATTTCCCAAAATCATTTGCCTTTCTGAACCAGTTAACATGCACTGAACAGTAAAGTAGACATTAAAGAAAAGCGCTTAAAACATATTGACATTGATTTATTAAGCAGATGCTCAATTCATCCAAAGCAACATACAACTGAGAAATCAAGGTGGAACAGTCACTGGAGCTATTAGGGTTAAGGGCCGAACGGTGACATTGCTCTGGTGATACGGAATTTGAACCAGCATGCTTCCTGATCACAAATCCTAACTCAAAGATCAACACACTGTTAAAGATGGTTAGGAGACTGCTGGAAAACTATCTGCATGAGGAAAATGTAAAAAAATAAAAATAAAATGTTTTTCAGAGCTGTGTGAGGTCATTAGCAGTTCACTACCAGAGGAGGAGAGGCTGGGGAAACTGATAGAGGCATCAATGAAGGTGGGTTGTGGGGGGGGCACCTCTGTTATTTCTCTCACTTACATTGGGCAGTATCAGATATTATATGTGAAACATAGATACATTAATTATGAATTTAATCTGATAGCTGTATTTTCCTTGAGTATTAATATAACAGTAAATTACACCTCACCGGGAACACGTAACGCCTGGTACTTGCACCCCCACCCTCCCCTTCCCAGAAATAAAGGATTTCCATGCATCAAAGGAGAAGTAAAAGGAATGCCGTCCATATCAAATGTGGAATTTCTTTTCTTCTCTCCCTTGGTAGCTGGCTGTACAGAAACTGGAGGCTGTTTTGCGCTCTGCCCCTGAAGCCAGCATGGAGGTTTTTCACAGCCAGGGTGAGTGCTGCCTGCCAAGTGTGAGGGGCACTGTTGTTGTTTTTTGATTTATATTCTTTTGTGCCTCTTCAAGCTACTTCTAAGCCTCGGACGTGCTGCCTGCTCTGAGCCGCATGCAAGAAACTGCTGAAACAGCTGGTGGATTGGGGAACATTGCAGAACTACAGCCAAGATTGTTTCTTTTAATCTGCTGTTGATTATTGATGCTTATTGGTGTAACCTTGCTCTCTCCCCCCCCCCCCTTCAGTGGAGTCTGTACAGCAGGAATGGCAGTGTCTAGAGAAGGAGATCAGGGAAAGTGCACAGAATCAGCCCTCCCCTCCCAGGTAGTGTCACTGTCCCTGTATCCCTGCCCATGTCCTCCATTGGTCCATCCACCTAATCACCTCCATGTCATTGGTCCGTCAGTCTACCCGCCTCCATGTCATTGGTCCGTCCGTCTACCCGCCTCCATGTCACTCACTCCTCTCCTCACCCTTTTCCCTATGGTTCCCAGGGATTCTAAGGTGCAGGAGGCCATGGAGAAGATCAGGAAGTCTATCCACAGGTACCATCTCCAGACAGATTGAAGCGTTTGGGCCCATCTGGCCCATAATGCATAAAGCATGTGGCCACGCCTTGACGTATCAACAGAGGCACTTATGCAGTCCTGCAGATCCTCGGGATGTTAAAGTCGCGTGTTTGTGTGCCTGTGCCTCAGCCTGCAGGTGGAATGTGGATCCTGGGAGTCCCTTCTACAGAAACACCGCAGCAGAGCGGAGGAGCTGGCCAGGTGAGGGTGCTCATGAGCCCATTCTCGTCTGTCCAGAAGATCCAAATATCATCCAGCTGTTACCATATCATCGGGGTTGGGAATCTGACTCATGGACTCATGCAGCTTTTTGGGATCACCTCTGAATCAGCCAATAGTAAAGCAGTGGTTCTCAACTCTCAAGTCATGGCCACCCATTGTTATTGGCCCTCCATGGCTCAGCTAGAGCACGTCCAATCCATCCTTTCCTCACCTCTCTCACCCCCTACAGGCGTGTGGAGCAGGGGCGGACAGGTGGGCTGCCCCTGGATCCCAGCTGCCTGGCCCAGTCCTCACAGAGCCAGGTGATCATGAGCAAGCCGGATTATAACAGCGCCCTCTGCAGGCAGCAGACAGTGCTGCACACCATGGAGCTGACGGTGAGCTTCCCCTCCCGCAGTCTTGCCCCGCAGACCGTGTCACGCTTCTGCCTGTCTTACGCGGCTCCCTTCCTGTAGCTGGACACGCACTGTAAGATCCTGAGGGGGGCGCTGTCGTACCAGGAGCAGTGTCAGGCACTCATCAGAGAGACCAGCGGCCGCCTGGGTGAGTGTGAAGAAGGCATTCTGGGAAAATGACATCTGTGAGTTCCCCACATCTAACCCGAGCCCATTTGTCCTCCTCAGCTTCCACCACTGGGTTCCAGGAGTTGCCGTCCTCCCCAGTCAGGAAGCTGCTCATGGCGGTCCCCCAGCCTTCCTGCAAACTGGGGTCGGCTCAGTAGCGCCCCCCTCCTGTCACTTTACGTATTGCTTTTATACCCCACCTACATAAGTGTGGATTTTTTTATATAAAGAATTGCAAGTGTTTTTCTTCATAAATTTAGTCTTTAGTGTTTTTATGCATTGTTGCCACTAGATGGCACTGTTGTCCTTAATACTGTATTTCAGTTTTTATTCTGTATCTGCTTTTCTCAAAATTTTACATTTTTAATGCGTATTAAATTTAAGAGATTGTAGTAAAATCTTGTATGTGCATTTTTTTTTAAAACGAAAAAAATCTACTGTTTCAGTGATAGACTCAGCAGTTACATCAAGCACATAAGTCAAATTCTTTGGATCGCAAAATGTGAACTCCAAATCTGAACAGGAATCTGCTGAAACTCACCCTCTTCAGCAGCAGCTGGCAGAGCGCGTGGAACCCCGATCCGGCCGGCCGGCCCTGCCCCAACACGCCCACCTGGTCTCGCCTCTTCCCCAGTCACGGCCTGCTCATTGTCCCTCCTTTCTCTCCCTGTATCATCCGCCTTGGCCGCTCTCCTGTTCTGCGGTTCTGTCCCACTTCGGCTTCCTATCTGTTACTCTCCTGGTGAAATCATCGTTTTGAATGAGCAGGGGAGGAGAACGCGGCGGCCAGAGGCATTGTCAGGCTGCTACAGCTTTGACAGAACCCCCCATAACATAACCCCCCCCCCATAAAACTCTCACTCTGTCCCAAAGCCCAAAGTCGGACTCTGCTTTTCTCCCCCTGCCTCTTTCTCTGTTTTTATTTCAGCTTGATTATTTTTCTTCCTACCTTTGATGTTCTGACATGATAATTTCTCGTTTTTCTACTTTTTAACAGCATTCCCCCCCCCCCCACTCTTCCTCACTTTTCTCCATGTTCTTCTTGCCTGCCACAGACCCCTTGTTTAGCATCGCACCAAACCTCCCCCCCACACATGCAGTCCCCGTGGAGGTATATACCTTTCCGGAGAGCTACCCTGCGCCTCGTCTGCACGCATAACAATCTCTGCACTTCGTATTTTTTTTTAAACCGTGCCTGTTTTGCACAAGAGGGCCATTCCATTTTCTAGACGTATAAAAACTGAACACAAACCTTTTCATACTCCTGCCCCCTGCCTCACTGAGCCTCAGGCTTACCGCACCCCCCCCCCCCCCCCCCCACTACAGGGTAATTTGAGTGGAACGCAATCCTGAAACAGTGCCAGAGAAACACACATACCTATCCCCCAACCCCCAACTCTGCCCTGACGAGTCACCGGGCAGTGGGGGTCGAATTATTGGTGTCTCTGCAGGTTGCATTAACCCCCCCCCCCCCACACACACACACACACACTGTCTTCCCCAGCTGTGTTCAAGGGGGGGCCCAGTGCTCCTGAAGGAACTCCGAATTCCCTCAGAAAGGAGCTTCATCCAGCGGGGGCGAGTTGGGCGGGTGGACAGACAGGAAGTAGAAGTTAAAAAGGAAGAGCCGTTAGAATAAGCAGAATCGTTAGACTCTGCGGTGGATGAAAGGCGTCTTTGATCAGAGCTGAAAGTTTCAGAGGACGTGAGAGCAGGGGAGCTGGTGTGCGGAGAGGGAGCTCGGAGACATGAGATGAAGGGCGAGAGATGATAGGAGACTGGCTGACAGCATGAAAATGGTTTTAAAAACCCGTACGCTCCGCTCCCCCGGATCACGGTTCGAATCCGAATCATACCGTCTGCAAATTATCGCCAGAGATGCCAGTGACAGAGGTAACAGTGATGGAGGATTTAAATGGCCACCAGAAAAGCCCTGATGGCCAGTTGGGTGCCTCATGGCCCACTCTGCTTGTCCAATCGGTGCCAAGCTCTCCAGTGTAATGACTGGTGATTCACTGCGTGAAATGAGTGTGGAGGAAGAGGAGTGTACGGTAGTTCACTCCTTTCCCAGTCAGGTATAGAGCTGGATATGGAGGTGAATGCAGACATGCTGGCTGCACCCTGATTCCTAACACGCCACCCTGCAAGCGGTTCTGAAGATTAATAATTCACAATATGCTCGGCGTACGACTGGCAGTTAAATCTGAAAAATGTTTTAGAAGAATTAGACCACTTCATGGTAATAAGTCGGGAAGTGTTTCTGACTCGCATCGTAGAAGACCGGGTTTTAAAATGTGTGGGGGGGGGGCACCCTGGGTTTGATTCGGTGCTGCTGGGGTAGAGAGGCTCGGGGGGTAGAGGGGGTTCTGCTTTAGTGCCGAGAGCGAGAGAACAATTGACAGGGAGCAGAGGTGTACGGAGAGAGGGAGGGAGCTAGAGAGAGGGAGAGGGAGACTGTCTCCAGAGAGATGATTCGAGGTTCCCGGGGCAGCACCAGAAGAGCGATCGATTCTTATTTAAATGAAAATGAGGCAGAATGTTAGTGGGCAGGCGGAGATCGTGGGAGAGGGAAGGAACAAACCCACGAAAACTCACACGCAAATGTCCAGGTCCATCACATGCTGATGTAGGGTGGAATGAGTGGAGTCAAAACACCCAAGCTGATAAGTTCGCACCCTCAGTCTCTGACATCGTGGGGGGGGGGGGGTGCCAAGTGTCCAGCTTCAGTGTGAGGCTAAAGAAATTCACTCTACACTGTATGAAGTGTTTGTACCTTACTCTCCTATTGTCTCTGACATTTTTCATTTTAATTCCCCCAAAAATATGGCCTTTATAGGTTTTGCTTTTATTATGTTATCATTAAATGTGATTTGCTGTTTATTGGTGTGCTGTTTGTCCAGCTCACTATTTATTGCAATATTATAATGCATTTTTTAATGAATTCACATTGATAGCACATGGTAATATGCCTGTCAGGAAAGTGCTTCATATAAAAGTTGAATGCCTAATCTGGAGAGTATTTTCGTCCCTTGAGATAGCTCTAAGCTTTTGGTCCCTATGTCGTGGTTGGATGTTGTGGAAGGGAGAGGAGGAGAGAGGGACGCATGGAGAGGAAGGTCTTCAGCGCGGGGCTGCGTCAGGCCACTCAACGGGGGACCACGGGAGGCCTCGGGTCTTTCAAATTAATGACGTTTCACTCGGGTGTTGTCATAGCAACACGCGGCCTACCCCTTTGGTGTCCCGTAAAACTACAAGTATGTTACAACTGGAGCGAGGAACCACGCGAGATGCTTCCTTATTGCGGGAAAGGGGGTGACTGCGCGCGCCAACACACGGGGATTCCTTTCTCAAAAAACCGACGTAACTGCCTTGATCCTTAAATCTTTCATTAAGTTGGCACCGCGCTGCAGAAATGGCCCAGGTCAAAGGGACCCCCCATCCCATTCCACGCATCACAAACACTCAGGCGGTCAAACAGGTGTGGGGTACATTGGGGGGGGCTGCCATTCTTTTATAAACCTGGACATCTCGGGAGATAGATAAGCAGTGAACGGCAAACGATTATTGTGCGAGGTCCAGTCCCTCCCCTCGCTCTACCCCCTCTGTCAGATTGATTAGTCGCAGATTGCAGCCGAGAGATGCACCCGGAGTCAGCACAAACCGCTGCCAGGTCCGTCCGGCTCCCCAGCCCGTACTCATTCTCATCAGGGCACGTTGACTTAAGCCGCCGCCGCCGCCAGCGGCTCCTCCCCCCCGTACATCCTACGCCGCGTCCGTCTGAGAGACCCGTCTCAGCTCTCGGCTTGATAAACTGCTGCGAAAAAAGTCCGCGTATGCAGAAAACGGCGAGGCGCGCTCGCTTTTAATCTGCGCTTGTCCGCGCTTCTTGCCCCAAAAAAAGACGGATTGAGCGCTTCATTCGAGAGTAGCGCGCGTACCGGGCCGGTGCGGCTCGCGGGAGGAGCGCAGCTTCTCACACCGGCCAGAAAATGAAAAGTGTCAACAACCGCAGCTCTCTTAGAAAAATGTACTTACTTTGTTTTCAGATGTCTTTTTACAGTGTTTTCTCCGGAATGTCTTGCAGCCTTGACCAGAATCAGTTCATGTTTTAACCCTATAGCTAAAAGTTACCAATAAACCTCATTAAATGTCTTCGATAAGTGGCCTGATGCACAGCCTGGTTTTATAAGTGTAAGTACTGCATATAGCTTAAGTCTGAATGCTCCACTCAAAATGCATTACAATAGCCGAGACTAAATCCACTATCTAGTCACATACTTAGCTATTAATGTATTATATTTAATACCACAGTAATGTTTTATGCAGTGTTTTGGGTTGTGGGTAACTTAATGAAGCAGATTTAAATGGCTGCGCTGGTGCGCGCTCGGCCTTATGAAACTTATCCAGGGTATCTGCAGTGCGAGGGGGTGACGGCTCAGCGACTCTCATCTGCCCCCTACGTTTTTTAAGATCAAGTACTTATGAAGTCCCGAAGTACACTTCCTGACCCATGTCTGGCCAATCTTCTTTGACATTTTTCACTAGGAATCTAGATTTTTTTTAAAAATTTAATACGCATACATAATGAGTGAATGAATGAATGAATGAATGAATGAATGAATGAATTACCTTCGCAGACAGCCAAAGGCCACCGTCAAGGATGTCTCAATCTTCACAGACACTGTATGCCAGTGGCTGAGCCGGGAAATTTTCTGTGGGGTAGCCAGGGTGGGATCACAGGTCAATTTGGGGTGGAACACAAATCTAAATACGAAAATAAAGAATCTATGTAATAAGGGAATATTTAAGGTAGCTAAATGCTATAACTCTACATTGTTTATAATTCAGGCAATGGTAGAATTATCAAATACACATTTAATGTATCAATTTCTTGCAGTTAAGATAACCTTACACTAAGTACACGATTCCTAAATTTCCGCATCAGTGTTCTGAGAGCAAATGTTTAGCTCAGCAGCACCATGAGCTCATTCTCTATCAGTGTATCATCAGGGATACAGAGAAACAGTAACGTAACAAAAGGAGTTTTTTAAAAGTCTGATTTAACTAAAATGCAAATATAACGGGGGGGGGGGCCGATGGGGTGCCAAGGTTCGGTCTAGGGTGGCCACGGCCCGCCCGCAGATCCGCGTATGTTGTATGCTAAGGGAAACGTTGCATCTGTTTTGTTCTGTAACCCATAACCTGGAATGCGTTAACTGCTAATATTCCCAACAATGATATAACCATGCATCACGATTCTTATACATCTTTTCGATTTTTGTTGTGCACCTGAGCAGCTGACTTTCCGTACCTGTTAAGTCAGCGCCAGCTGTGCTTGTCTGTTCCGGGTTCCTGGTGCAGGACTTTTTCAAACTGGGGGTGGGGGGGGCGGATTATCCATTGTGCTTTTTCCCTCATCATGATCAATCTATAGCTGCTCTTTTTCTTTCCCCTATTTGCAGGCACAGCCCGTGGGGTGGGGAGAGGGGATAAGCCTTAAAAACAACAAAGCGGTCGCCTAGCAACCGCTCCCGCCTGCTGTCAATCAATCAGTTGGGGGGAGGAGGTAAGGGAGGGCAAATGGAACTTCAAACTTGCATTTATCGCCCTTCCCCCTACGGCTCGGCCATCAGGCTCCGCGAGAGGGGGCGGGGTATCGTACGGCACGGTGCTGCAGCCTAATGCACGCTATTCCATGGTCTTTTAAGGAGGCTAACTTCTGATCTCCGTCTGCACCCTTTAAAAACGACGCATAAATATTTCTAGACGCGTGTTACCAACAAACTTGGTGCAATAAGCGATACAGCGGGTCAGTCCAGCGATCTATGCTAAAATGCCCTACATATTGTCATTCCCAGGCTGCCCCACTTACAGGAAGTCAAACAAGTACGACGGATACTAGTGATGACCTGATTGTTGGATCAGACCCAGGCACTTAATCATTTTAACTAACTGGTGGAAATTATGGCGTCACTAACCTTTTAAGAATTAGGGGGTATATAACCACGGGAGGAAAAAAATTGTGCTCTTATAATTTTTGAAGAGCAGTAAAAGCGAGACTATCTCAGACAGCAGATGTTAAGTCAGCGTGAGCTGGCAGCTGGGCCTGGCGAGATCAAGCCTGGTGACTTCTCCCATGTTCTACCTCTACCTGTTTCAGGGTGGGATTTTAATAACCACCAAAATACCAGGCGCTTCATTGACCCCTTGAGAGGATCTTGCTTGGTGCTGCTGACCGTGCTTGGACAGTGCAATAAAATCACACTAATTCCACTCCAGAGGCAATTACCAACAATAGAGCATTTAGTCATGATAAACAGTCTTTCAGGGCAAGTATATCTATCGGTGGCATTAATGTGATGTTCAGTGGTATTCCTTGGACCTGTGGGCAAGATGTTTTCACGCGAATGACTTATTGTAACGTAAAACTAACAAACACCCAAAACTACACTGTGCAATCTGAAATACAAAACTCAAGTGAAACAATCTCAACAAGAATTTCGTCCTGCAGGTAAAATCTGTTTATGAGGGTGTAGTATTATGTTCGGAACTGCCTTGTTAAAGTTCAACCCAAGCCTCCCGTGGATAATCCTCTCTCATTTCGATCATTTAATTTGCAATGTTTTTTAGTGCATCCATAATGAGATTAAGTAAGGCATTTTCCCCCAAAGTTAAAAGGGTAAATTAGGGCTTCGACGGCACGCTTGTTTAACCGAAAGGTAAGTTTTTGGGGGGTGTTTATACGTGATCGAGGTTCCTAGCGGCGCCGAGAGGTACGACAGCTCGGCCGCGGCCCATTACGTAGCGCCGGGTGCACGACACTGCTGTGGTGCGCTGGGAGTGGGGAGCACGGCGAGGAAAAAGCCTGCGAGAGAAAGGAGGGAGAGGAGAGGAAGGGGAAGAAAGGAAGAGAGGAGAAGGGAAGGGAAGCGAGACGGAGCGAGGAGCGCACCGAAAACCCCCCAAAGCCGCCTGCTCGGACAGTGGCGGCATTTTTCTCTGATTTTTAAAATCCTGGTATCGGTTTCCTTCATGCATTTCGCTTTATTTTTGACAAATCTTCCAGTTTTAGTGCATGCGTCGGGCAGCGCTTAGCCGATCGTTTGCTTGCTCGCTTGCTGCTGCTAGCAAGTTAGTTAGATTGCACCGAGGGAGCGACTGGTAGCGGGGCCCGGCTTTAAGCGTGCCGAGTTTTATTTAAAATCCGCTCCAGTCTTTATTTACTCGCATCCCTCCACCTTTTTCCACGTCGTTCTCGGTAGCTAGCTAATCAGCTAAGTACATGCATTACGGCCAGCTGGCTGGGTAAGAACAGCGTGTATGTATTTTTTTTTCCGGGGTGTTCATTTTTATTTTAGTGTCTAACTCGGTGGGAGGGAAATATCCAGGTACGGATGGGTTTGCATGCAGCGATCGTAAGCCGCTTGTGTTATTAGCATTTTTTTGCAGTACTTAATATTTTTTTTTATAATCACTGTGATTTGTGCACAACGAAACAGCGGAAAAAACCCAACTGCCCCGGCGACTGTGTGTCATTAGCCTGCCGCGGTGCTCCCGAAAGGATCGCTCCTGCTTTTCTTCCATTTTCCAAAGCAAAAGCAGCGCACTGTTTTGAAGGACCACTTTGAACACGCCGTCCCAAAGTCTTTTGTCGCTTGGTTTTAGCCAGCTGCCGTTTTTTAGTTTCAGTTTCTAATGCACCCTTAATTTCTCGGCGTGCGGATGCTTTACCCCCCTCCATGTACTTAGCTGTGCAAAAAAAAAAAAAAACTGCGTGAAAGACGAGCTTTGTGCTAGCTTCTTGGCTACTCCGCCTTTTCGTGGCTGATTTCTTTTTATTTTTGGGGGAAAAGCATTTTTTTCCAACTGCACACGCAAGATTTTTTTTTTCCTTATACGTATATCTTTGTCTATTTAGAGCTGCCTGGCGAGCAGCACCATTTGATCTCACTGGCTCTGTTAGAGTAATTTATAATTCAGTAGGGCCGAGGTGTCTCTGTTGGGATTTTTTTTTCCTCCTTCCCTTCCTCGCATTTGCTTTTTTTTATACTGGGCTTTTTTCGCGGAGAAGACGGCGAGGCTTCCCTGAAAGTATGGATGAACAGACCCGTATGCTAGCGGGTCTCCCTGGACTCGGCGGATTATCGCAGACTGACGTGGGCGACCCGGACTCGGTCCGGAAGCAGCAGCAGCCCCTCGGCCAGCCCCAGCAAGACATCGGGGACATCCTCCAGCAGATCATGGCCATCACGGACGAAAGCCTAGACGAGGCACAGGCCAGGTAAGGCTTGGGGGATGAGGGGATGGTATCTCCATGGGGAAGGTGGACAGTGGAAAAACGGATGAAAGGGACCTGATCGCCGTTTGAAGACCCCAGACCTGATTGCACGGAAACGTGCTTCCAGCAGATCCCCCTGCACACTTTATTAAGGGCTTGCATGTGAATTTGGTGCTGTGGTCTCTACATCTCCATGCCAGATACTTTCTTGGCCGGATTGCACGCCATCCCTTTATACACTGGGAATTAGAATCGCTTCATAAATAGGAAACAGACTCCCTCCAAGCGTGGTCTCCCCCCAGTGTTGTCAGAAGTGTTTTGTCCGTAGGCCCATGCTGGTCTTATGCCAACTGGGAGCGCTGGGAATGACGTAGCGCATCGACCCCCGTGCATCACGGCCGACCATAACTGCAAAATGTACCACATCGGATTTATTGCAAGTTATTTACTGTATGCATTGGTTGTTTATTTGAAATGTATTATTGTGTGTATGGCTACTACATGATGAACTAGACACAAAGACGTGGACTCAGAAACGGGGCTCATCACGGAGCACCATTGATCACTTGCCTTTTACGCGCTGAATTGTCTGATCCCGACTTAATTTATGCCACAAACCACCTTTCATGGCCGATTTAATGAAGACCGAGCGCATCTGATTATGTGGCGATGCCGAGGGGATGCGAGCGTGTTTCTTAATGCACGAAAACATTAAGGACGTGTCTTGTCTAGGGTATACTTAACGGGACGTTGCTTTTTTCATAATACTGATAAAGTTTAAGCAACTTTTTGCCTTTCCCGGGTAGTATTCACAAAGACATGGGGCAACCTAATTTAAATCTACAGAAATAAGGTTCATTGTCGTCCGGACATTCGGACGTGTGCTGGATTCCCCGATGTTCACTTGCCAGAATATAGAGTGGGGATTTTTAAAAGAAGCATGATAAAATTAACAGAGTGTGAAATTACTGTCTCACTCTCTGTCTCTCAAGTAGACCATGAAATACATAGCTGTAATTTGTAATGTTCTCGGGGCTTTTAGTTATTTAGTTATATAAATCACTAGAAATAACTTGGGATTTGTGTTCGGGTCTCTTGCGTGGCTTTAATGTCACCCTTAAGGATGTGTTTATTCACACACGTTTTGGCCTCGGCCCCTGACTTGGAACTCGCCTGCTAATTGAGTTTGATTAATCTGCTATTGTGCCATTACCATAGATTATGTGGGAAAAAACCCTTAATTAAAACACCAGTGTGTCTCAAAGGAAAGCTTTTGTGATTTAAATTGCGTGTTTGGTTTAAAGGGATGCGAGTTAAGCAGGCAGGTCGCATTTTTTTTTCCTCCCCTGAAAGAAAACATCCAGGCTGAATTAAGGTCGTGTTTCCAGGAGGTGAATACGCATCGCACGTCTCTTGCTAAAATCTGTCGTCGTCTTACCTGATTTCCTATTTTTAGTTTGCTGGTTAAATATCCGAGCCAGTCCTGGATTTCTGGAATTGCTGTGGTGAAAAATAATTTTAAAAAAAGGAGAGGTGGTAAAATGGGAGACTGTGGTCATCTCTTCTGTCTAGAGCTAAAGATGTTTCGCTGGAGCAGTTGGCCACCTGGTTCCCTTAATTAATTCCCTCCCCCCTTCCCCCCCCCCCCTCGGTGCTCACCCTTTTCATTGTGTGCACCACGCAATCAATTCTCTGCTAAAGTGCTGGACTGCAGCTGTCCGCAAAGCCTTTTCTATTAATGATACCGCATGCGTGTGACTGATGGCTGGGGGGGCGGGGGGGGGTTTAAAAGTTTACCGACTCGCAGCCGCGCACCTTGCAGTTTCATGGGGAGGGGTTTGGCTCATTTTGTGGCCCTCGATTAAAGTTAAGCGGCCGTCCGCTGTGTCTGGTGATGATGAAGGCATCCTGCTGGCTTGCTCCTCCTCCTCCTCGTTTGCTCCTCCATCCACGGGTAAAATGCTCCTCTGGTGGAAATATTTCTTTGGGTAATGAAGCTGATTTTTTTTTTTTTTCCCTCCCCACGTCACTGGAATGTAATTCACTTCTGCTGGTATTTCTGACATGAGGAAGTTGATTTTTTTTCCTTGCATGAGAGGATAGAGCAGATTATTACTCTGAAGGATGAAAAGAGGATATAAACTTTTATCTTGGTGTATTTGACTTGTCGTTCCCAGTACTCACTCACTCATTCACTCACTTACACCCATTCACTCTCAGCTCGCTCTCTCTCTCGCTTTCCCTCTCTCTCTTTGTACCTGGTCAGGTGCCCCCCCCATTTGAATCACATCCCCATCAGAATCTGTCAGTTTAATCTACAGTAACGGAGGTGCGTAAACGCGATTGGTGTCCAAACACACTACCAGCTCCCATCTTTTCTGGGAGTCGCTTAACGCGTTCCTCTGGAACGTCGGGATTCCCCAGAGACCTCTGGGATTTGCGGTCGTCTCGTGGAGCCATTCCCGTTGGCTGGCTCCCAGATACTGGTGCGGTGCAGCATTACAACTGGGATAGGGAGACCTCTTCACGTTCGGGTCCGTCTGCCTGGGCAGCCTTGGCCCTATTCATCCTGAGGTGCCTATTGACCTTCCTCTGACTCGGGCTTCTGGTCCGCTTGACCGACTCTGTTCTCCGCGGTTGGTTTGGGGGTGGGGCTTCTGCATCACATGGCTTTATTTGCAACCGCCCCAGGACACCCTCCAGCGTTTCTACCCCCCACAATGTCTTACCCCACGATCGCCCATCTTCCTCACTGCGTCAAATGTTCCGTTTGAACCTTCTGTTACCCATAATGCCCTGTTGCCCTGTGTCCAGATGCTGGCCAGCGGAGGCGCCGGCGCGCTGGGCCGCAGCGGATGACCCCGCACAGGGTGGGGAAGCTGGGGGGGGCACGGCGGGGACTGCCCTGCCGCTCAACTTCCAGCACAGGTCAGTACTGGACAGCATGAGCCCCCCCCCACCTATCCCACACTCCCACCCCCCCCCATTCTGCCAGGCAACATGACTCTTACCCACTGTTTATAAACATTTTAAAGTGCTATTTCACACTCTTTACTCTGATTTAGTCAGTCGGGTACCTTACGGGGTATCTTGCTATTGGTGCGTCTTGGGCTGGGTTCCCAAGGCAGTGCTGTTGAACCCGGTCCTTGGGGAACCCCAGACGGTCCACGTTTTTGCTCCCTCCCAGTTCCTTGCCAGACAGCCTACAGTTTCGCTCCCTCTGCATAGGCTGCGAGGGAGCAAAAACGTGGACCGTCTGGGGTTCCCCAAGGACCGGTTTCAGGAACACTGTCCCGGTTCTGCACTAGGCTCATGTCGGGGGTGTCCTCCCAATAAAGGTGTACCTTCCCCTCCACATTCTGTTTTATGTTGCCCCCCCCTCCCCAGTCATCTTTCTTTAGCACATTTCTTTATAAGCATAAATCAATAAACACCCTCAATGTCTGGCAAACGCAAAGCCTCTGGCCTGCTTTCCTGGCTGTGAATACCGCACCCCGCACGGCGCTCTTAAAGCACGACGTCGTGTGGAGCGGTGCCACGCGCTGACAGTCGCTCCACGGCCTTTCTACGTCGTCCCGATCTGTCCGTCACGGATGGGAATGCCTTCCATCCTTCTCTACACTCTGCCTTTTCCCTCGTCATAAGAAATGGGGAATATTTCGGGTCCGGGGTGGGAATTATAAACTGTCGGCTTTGGGAACAGAATTATCTCCGTGCTGCGCTCATCTGTTGGGAATTACGTCGGGAAGTCGGATATGGGAATGCTGGGGCCCCGCTGTGACTCAATCATGTATGCCCCCCCCCCAAGAAAAGACCTTTATTAATTTTTGTGTCAGAAATTACACTGCATAATATTAAACCCCCGACAGGGTTTGGTTATAAATTATACAACAAATGAAATGAACTCCTTATAGACTTTTGCTGGTGTTCATTCCTGCTTGGCTGCCTCATGGTGGCGCTCTCCCTGGCTGGGCCGCTTTCAATCGGCTGGTGTCCGCTGGTTGTAGCGGGGGGGGGGGGGGGGGGGGGGGGGGGGGGGGGTCGGGATGAGGGTGGGGGCTCGCTGACAAATTCCAAAGGTTCTGCTGCAGTGACCCAAACCCAGTAGAACAGAGACTGATGGGTCTTTGGAACATTCCTCAGCTAGTGGCTTAAGGAATAGGCAGCAGTGGTCAGGCCAGGGTCAGGCTGTACCCCTCCGGGCTGTAGGTGACCCAAGTATCCAAAAACAATTTCCCCTCTTCAGCAGAGGCCGGCAGATTCTGTGATCCTGCCCTGGTGCTTGTAGGAGGAGGAGATCTGGAAGATGCCTTCACATCATATCCTTGTGTGTTTGCCTTCTTGTTAAACTTAATTGCTTCGTTTGTCTCCGTCGATCGATTTGTGTCTGTGTGTCTGTGGGAGTGTGTTTGAAAATGCCCATTGGAGACGCCCCCCGTCATGGATGTGAGCCTCTGGTAACTAAACCTGGATCTGGGTTTGATTTGGTACCCGGATGCTGGAGTCGGAGGTTGTCTGAGGGGCTTGCGTGGCTGGATCAGCGGTGGTCTGTCCCGCTAATTCGTACGGCCCGGCTGTTGTTCTGAGGTGGTTTAGGATAAGTACTGACCCATGCTGCTCTATGATTGGCTGTCATACCTCCCCATCACAGTATCTCTCCCCCCCCCCCCCCCCCCCCCCCTCTCTTTCTGGGACAGGAAGCATGCCCTGAACTGCCACCGGATGAAGCCGGCCCTCTTCAGTGTCCTGTGCGAGATCAAGGAGAAGACAGGTGAGACCAGGCCTCCGATCGCCTGGTGTCAGGGTCACCATGGTTACCGTGTGTGGTGGATGAGAAGCGGGCCTCTCTCTCGTTTCCCGGGCGACAGGCCTAGCGCTTTTTTTTTCGGCGGATGAGCGGAGATTGTGTGGGAGTGACAGTGACAGTCTTGGGCAAACTTCAGTGAAATGAGTGCCAAACGTGAGCGGAATTTAAGCCAGGCGTGGAGTTTGGTGGATGAATGCATCCTACGGAGAACCCAAAGCTTTCCTACCTGATCTATATTTCCCTGCAAGGAACGTCGGCAGATAACTAGGCAAGATAGCATTTGGGGATCGTTCTACCGGGGACAGAAGCGCGTCCTTAGAAAAGCCAAGAGAATTGTGGGAGAAGCCCGCTGGCGCAGTGTGAGGGAGAGGCAGGTGGGGTGGCCTTCGCCGGGTTGCCATGGCGACGGGGCTCGGAGGTGGTGGTCTTCTCGGCGGTGCGCTGGTGACTCTGTCTTGAGCGGATGAGTCAGTCCGCCGGCTCCCTGCGTTTCGCATTTTAGTGTCCTTGTCCTGTTTTTTTTTTGGGAGGGGGGGGTGTAGCTTTCCAGAGATCCCAAACCGCCGGGATCCTGCCCCCGGTGGCGTCTTTCAGCGCCTTCCTGATATTTTTACTTTACTGACATTTATATGTATATAGCGGGATTTCTTTGTGGCCGATGCTCTCCTGCTGCTGTTCTCTAAGCTCTCGCTCTGTCTCTCCGTCTCTCTGTCCCTCCTCCCTCGCTCCTCCCTCTCTGAGATGTAGTGTCAGAGGTCTCCTGCTTCTTGTCAGAGTGATCTGTCTGTCCCCCATCTCCAGGAGGCGCCGTCGCAGGCCCCGTATCCGCCGCGCGTCCCTTTGATACTCGCTCGCGTCTCCGGGTTCAGCCGGAGCCCGACACGCCCAGGGTTGGGGTCGCCCGGTGGCCGCTGCCCCCTCCCTGCGTATTCGACCTTAAATCTCTGTCGGTCCAGAAGCGCCTCGCCGATCCGGCGACGTTTCTCAGTACGACATCGGCGGCCCGGTGGGGGCGGGGATCCAGAGCCTCGCTGGCTGCTATCCCTGGCAAACGGATCCCTACGGAATCTTAATTCCGTT